TTAAACATTAAACAAGGGGACAACATTAGCAATTCTCCAGTCCTCCAGGACCTCACCCGTGCTCAAGGATGCTGCAAAGATATCTGTTAAGGCCCCAGCTATTTCCTCTCTCGCTTCCCTCAGAAACCTGGGATAGATCCCATCCGGACCTGGGGACTTGTCCACTCTAATGCCTTTTTGAATACCCAACACTTCCCCCCTCCTTATGCCGATTTGACCTAGAGTAATCAACATCTATCCCTAACCTCAACATTTGGCATGTCCCTCTCCTCGGTGAATACCTGCGCAAAGTACTCATTAAGAATCTCAATCATTTTCTCTGACTCCTCGCATAACTTCCCTCCTTTGTCCTTGACTGGGCCAACCCTTTCTCTAGTTACCCTATTGCTCCTTATGTACGAATAAAAGGCTTTGGGATTTTCCTTAACCCTGTTTGCTAAAGATATTTCATGACCCCTTTTAGCCCTCTTAATTCCTCATTTCAGATTGGTCCTACTTTCCTGATATTCTTCCAAAGCCTCAAATGTTTTCAGTCGCCTAGACCTTAGGTATGCTTCCTTTTTCTTCTTTGCTAATCTCACAATTTCACCTGTCATCCATGGTTCCCTAATCTTGCCCTTTCTATCCCTCATTTTCACAGGGACATGTCTGTCCTGCACTCTAATCAACCTCTCTTTAAAAGCCTCCCACATATCAAGTGTGGATTTACCCTCAAACAGTTGCTCCCAATCCACATTCCCCAGCTCCTGCCGAATTTTGCTATAGTTGGCCTTCCCCCAGTTTAGCACTCTTCCTTTAGGACCACTCTCGTCTTTGTCCATCAGTATTCTAAAACTTACAGGCTTGTGATCACTGTTCTCAAAGTAATCCCCCACTAAAACTTCAACCACCTGGCCGGGCTCATTCCCCAACACCAGGTCCAGTATGACCCCTTCCTGAGTTGGACTATTTACATACTGCTCTATAAAACCCTCCTGGATTCTGCTTACAAATTCTACTCCATCTAAACCCCTAACACTAAGTGAATCCCAGTCAATGTTGGGAAAATTAAAACCTCTCATCATCACCACCCTGTTGCTCCTACATCTTTCCATAATCTGTCTACATATTTGTACCTCTATCTCCCGCTCACTGTTGGGAGGCCTGTAGTACAGCCCCAACATTGTTACTGCACCCTTCCTATTTCTGAGCTCTGCCCATATTGCCTCACTGCTCGAGTCCTCCATGGTGCCCTCCTTCAGCACAGCTGTAATATCCTCTTTGACCGGTAATGCAACTCCTCCACCCCTTTTACCTCCCTCTCTATCCTGCCTGAAACATCTATATCCTGGGATATTTAGTTGCCAATCTTGCCCCTCCTCAACCAAGTCTCAGTAATAGCAATAACATCATACTCCCAGGTATTAATCCAAGCCCTAAGTTCATCTGCCTTACCTACTACACTTCTTGCATTAAAACAAATGCACCTCAGACCACCTGTCCCTTTGCGTTCGTCATCTGCTCTTTGCCTACTCTTCCCCTTAGTCACACTGACTTCATTATCTAGTTCCTTACAGGCTTTAGTTACTACCTCCTTACTGTCCACTAACCTCCTCATTTGGTTCCCATCCCCCTGCCACATTAGTTTAAACCCTCCCCAACAGCGTTAGCAAAAGCACCCCCGAGGACATTGGTTCCAGTCCTGCCCAGGTGTAGACCATCCGATTTGTCCCACTTCCCCCAGAACCGGTCCCAATGTCCCAAAAATCTGAACCCCTCCCCTCTCAAGCCACTCAAATGAGACGGTGTAACCTGTATCTCTGTCAGTGGCTGTGTGACCATGGTTTTTGTCTATATCTGCTACCCTTATTCATTTAATTTGATGAGGTTGTAGGTTTAGAAGCTGTTAACTCAGGAGCCTTGGTGAATTTCTGCAGTGCGTCTTGTAGATGGTACACCCGGCTGCTACTGAGAGGTGGAGGGAGTGGGATGTTTGTGGATGTGGGGCCAATCGAGGGGGGACTGCTTTGTCCCTGGATGGTGTCGAGCTTCTCGAGTGTTGTTGGAGCTGCCCCCATCCGGGGCAAGTGAGGAGTATTCCATCACGCTCCTGACTTGTGCCCTGTCATTGATGGGACAGATTTTGTGGGGAGTCTGGAGGGGAGTTACTCGCTGCAGGATTCCCAGCCTCTGACCTGCTCTAGTAGCCCTTTGTTTCTACGGTCTGTTCCAGTTGACTTTCTGGTCAATGGCAGCCCCCAGGATGTTGATTCAGCCATGGTAATGCTGTGCAATATCAGTGGGAGTTGAGCAGTTGTATATGCCACAGAAAATTGGCTATAATTTACAATTAGAGGCATTGAGAATGCCAGTCCCTGGCTTTGCTCTCTGCACAATTCAATTTTCATCAGAAGTAATCCATCCAACTGCCTCCAGCTCCCGATGAATCACCTCTGCCTTTGGGTTTTGAGAAATGCAGCCTGACATTTGCTGAGAAATCGACTCTAACCGTCCGCACTGTTCCAGACCTCCCGGAACAGATGGTGAAACTGAATAATCTGCAAGTTTCCCCCTTCATTCTTCAGTCTCAGAGTCACGGTCCTGCTCCAGATGTCTCATTCCTGATCTGCCCGACTTGCTGCCTGTGGATTGATATCAGGCGAGGTTTGAGAACCGATGTTGGGGTTTGGGAGGGGAGTAGTGTTCTGAGTCGAGGGGGAGGTGTTGCCAATAAGTCGAGGGCGATAGCTCCCAATGACTGAATCAAATGGGACTGTTCCTGCGCTAAGAGAGGGAGATCTTGCTGCTAATGCTGGATTCACAACATTTCAATTTCCTGCCCCTTGACCTTCCTGTGTTTGCCGGGGAATGGGGATGGGGCTTGTGAAAATGCCCCTCTGAAAGTACACCATCTCATGTCCAGGCCAGTTGCTTGAAGCAGCGAGAGGGTATGGTGGAGAAATAAGACCATCTTCAGAGGATGCTTAGTGTTTCTTTGGCAGCCAGGGTCCCCTTGGCAACTGGGTGTCTCCTCGGCAACTGGGTGTTTCCAAGGCAACTGTTCTCTCCTCAGCAATTGGTGTCACCCAAGCAACCAGTGTCTCCTCAGTAACTAGCGCCTCCCTCGTCCAAGCCCCCTCCCCCCAAGCATCCAGTTGCCCTCAACAACCTGTGTCTCCTTGGTAACAAGTGCCCTTCCCCGGCAACCAATTGCCTTTGGCAGCCAGCGTCCCCCTCGACAACCAGCGCCCTCCTCGACAACCAGTGTCTCCTCGGCAACTAGTGCCCCCTCTACACCCATAATAGATACAGAAATGGCTAATGGGGCAACCGATAGGTGGTGACAAAAGAACCAGACACAGCAATTGTTCAGAACTGGAGAAACGAGCAGGAAAATACCATGACCACTTTGCACAAAAGCCATGGCGAAGCCATTGTCAAAACTCCTGTCTCCCTTTGTAGGAAGGGTCTGGGAAGCCTTGCCAACAAGATGGAGATGGTGGGCAGTGCCAGGGATGACCAATAGGACTGTGAGGTTTGACTGTGGATTCTCCTCTCTGATGCTCGAGGGGTAGTCGCCGTGAGATTTCTGGGAACGTGAGATTTCCGTGGTTACGTCCTTTGGCCAAGCGAGTGGCATTCTGACACTTCACATGCAGCATTTAAAACTTTTGACTTGCATCTCTGTAGCGCCTTTCATGCCATCTCAGAGTGCAGGGCAGCCATGGATGCTGCTCAAAATGTGGTCCCTGCTGTATTGTCAGAAAGCTGGCAACCAATTTACACACACCAATCTCCAGCAAGCTGCATGCCTGTATGTGATTCAGAGGAACACCTCACTGAAGAGGAGCTAACCCCCAACATGGCCAATGACTTACACTCCTTCCTCCCCTAAGACCCTGGCCCATAGCCCTGTCTGCCTTGGCATGGCGAGTGCCCATCTAACTCCTCCTTCAATGGGATGGGGGTTTCTGCCTCTCCTACCCTTACAGGCAGTGAGTTCCAGATTCCCCACCAGCCTCTGAGGGAAAACATTTTTTCTCACGTCCCCCTCTAAACTCCTCCCTTAAATCTATGCACCCCTCCTCTCCCCATTAATCCCCCCACTGAGGGGGAAAGTTCCTTCCTGTCTACCCTATCGATACCCCTCATTGTTTTATCCATCTCAGTCATGTCCCACCATCTCAATCCTCGGGGCTTCCCAGGGTCCTACTGCCCATCCTGTATTCCCTTGCCTTGTTTGTCCTGCCCTTGTTTATGCGTCACCTCACACTTTATCCTGAATTCCCTTTTGTTCCGTTACATCCTTCAATGCATCTCTCCGTCTGTCAGATAAATTGTCATCTGTCCGTTCAGAAAATATTCCAGACAAGACAGGGCGTGTCCCATCATGTCAAGAATGCCAAATTTTGTGGGACTGTAATGGTGGGAATGATGGGAGGGGGGAGGATGGGGGGGAATGACTAATTGGCGAGGACTAAATAAGAACGCAATACATTTGGCATCGCTTGACATTTGGCATTTGTGCCCTTCCTGGTATACCTCCCCAACTGAATGGTCTTGAATGTACTACTGTACCTCGGTCTTGAATCTTTAACTGTACTTTATCAAATACCTTCTGAAAATCTAAATATATTACATCTATTGGTTTCCCTTTATGTACCCTCCTTGTTACCTTTACACTGGTTGCCGAGGAGATTCTGGTTGCTGATGTTGCCAAAGGCAATTGGTTGCTGGGAAAGAGTACCAGTTACCAAGGAGACATGGTTGCCGAGGGCAATCAGTTGCTGTGGGAGGGCAACTGGTTGCCAAGGGCATTTGGTTGCTGGGAAAGGCCGCTAGTTACCAAGGAGACATGGTTGCTGAGTGCAATCAGTTGCAGGGGGAAGGCACCTGGTTGCCCATGGGACACTGGCTGCCAAGGGCAGCCGGTTGTTGGGAAAGGGCACTAGTTACCAAGGAGACACTAGTTGCCGAGGACAACTGGGTCAGTTCATGGTCTGAATCCGTCATCTTCCCAGCAGGAAGGTGGTGGACCAGTGGCGGAGCTGAATCTAACCATGAGTGCCGAGGTCGCCCAGGAGGGGGTATCGGTGTCATCACCGCCGGGCACGGCTCGGAAGGAGTGCTATTTTGACCGGGTGGCAGAGGGCGACCCTGAGTACCTTCGGCTGCGGAACATGGCTCCGACACTGAGACAGGATTTCAACGTGATGGAGCAGAAGAAGCGAGTGACGGTCATTCTGCAAAGTCCAGTGAGTAATGGGAACCGGCGCCTCCACAGCTTCCTCACATTCATGACAGTATTCTGTTCCCCTACCCCCTCTCACCCACTGCCCACCACCCGAAAGGAAACGCCTCTCCCTCCCTAGAAAACGTCAGGTCGAAATTGACACCCTGATCCAGAAGGACTAGCTGACCTTTGGGTCTGGTCTGGGTGGCTGAAGATGGGTTGAGGGGCTCCTTCACTGGGGATTTGACGTCCCATGTTAAATTAATGGGGTAATCGAGACAGGGGCTCGTGCACACTGATTGGAGTCAACAAAATGATGCCCTGAGCACTCAAGCCATGGAACCAGATAGAGATATGAGCTGCTATACCTGGTCATCTTTGAATACCTTCGGGGCAGAGAGTGGACGGCTCGGGGAATGAATGGGATCACACCGTTCGATTCCGTTCATCGTCGGGAGGGGAAGGTTGGGAATCTGCTCCCAGTCTGGTGCTGGAATGGAAATAACCCCCCGCCCCACCACCAGCTCACCCTCTGGAGCTGGCATCCAGAGACTCACCAGGCAGTGCCCACCCGCTCAGGGCTGACCAACTGTTGGTGTCAACACCCCCTTTGTCAGGACAGGAGGAGGAGGAGGAGGCCATTCAGCCCGCGCAGGAGAGGTCCCCTGCCGTGCAATGCAGTCGGTTTTGATCCTATACCCATCCCCGGTCATTGGCGATCCATCAGTCTCCACCTTCGAAGGACTCGGAGACTGAGTTTCCACAGCCCTCAGGGTTAGAGAATTCCAGCATCTGAGTAAACAAACAAAATCGGATAGAACTGAAGCATGACATCGCAGTTCCTGTACTCAAATCCTCTTGGGGGTGGTGAGGGGGTCTAGATGGCTTTCCCTACCAGCTAGCTTTATTCATAAGGATGCCCAAGTTTCTTTGAACATTGACGTCTTTGGAGGGGAGGTGGGTGAGGGGTTTGGAGTCACCCACAGAAGAGCCGAGGGGGGGAGCTTACATCCCGACTGGGCACTGGGGAGCGAGCAGGCAGCTGGTCTAACCGTGCCATCCTCTGCTTGTTTCCACCACACCCCCCGACTTCTCCAGGCCTTCCGGGAAGAGTTGGAGAGCCTGATCCAGGAGCAGCTGAGGAAAGGGAATGACTCCAGCAACGTGAGGGCACTGCGGCACATCGTGGACTTCATCAGCAGCAGCGGCAGTTGCGGCCCCTTGGCACTGCCCACCTCACCGCCCGGTGAGACCGCGATCCAGGCGCGTTTCCCATCGCCCCCCCACCCCAGCACACCCGCTCAACCGCACCGGCACGCGCCCACCGGGGAAGGTAAATCCGGCTCCGAAGGGGAAGCCGATCAGCCCGCTGGTGATACTAGCCCTCCACTCCAACCCCTACTTTCCAGCCTCCATTAATGACGATGCTTCTGCCTCCAATCCCAGGTTCCCCACCCCCACTGAACCATCTGAGCGTTCCTGCCTCCAACGCCAATCCAGGCACCGGGTTCCAGGCAGCCACCACCCTCTGGTTCAAAATCTCCTCGTTGCCATCCCCTTCTCATCCTTCTTCCAATTGCTGGAAATCCATGGCCCCCAACTGCACCCCCCCCTACAGTAATTGACCCCTCCATAGAGACTTGAAGGTCTATGGCATGGATATAGGCCCTTCAGCCCATCAAGTCTGTGCCAACCGCCTCACTATTCCAATCCCA